GAGAGAGAGAGACTGAATGGCAAAACTAAAATATGGGTCAAATTGCGGCCACGATCTATTTCGCAGTTGGAATGATTTTTTTTCATTTATTTAGTGTTTTTCCTAGAAAGACCACAACAAAATCTACAAGTACTCAAATTTTCAGGTTTTCTCACGCATTCTTCTGAGAGTGAAAACTCGCTGAATTTTGAGTACTTTACACACATGGTTGAGTGACAAAAATGGAAAATGTGTCGAATTGGCGCGACGATTAGTTCTCGGTCTAAATGATTTTTTTATAAATGTTCTAATATTTTTCCTAGAAAGAACAGGGCCTCATCTATGGATTCTAAAAAAAAAAAAAAAAAAAAAAAAATCAGATTTTTTTGTGGATTCCTCTTAGCGCATAAAATCGTCAAAGGTGCCCCTTGCAAAATGTCTGTTTCGTTGTGCCTGACCTCCCTGTTTTGAGAGGACGGGCCTCAACGCCTGGGCCTGAGAGGCCCTTTTGCAGTTCACATGCCCTCATTTTGTTTTGGGGTCCGCTTCCACTCATGGACCTGTCCAACGCCCCCCACTTTTCTGTGGGGTCCACTTCCACCCGAAGACCGGTCCTTTCTTTTTCCAAAAGTCCTGGTTCTACCTGAGCTAGCTGTAGGTAGTCCGCAATTTCGTCAAGGACTGGTCCCAAAATCCCCCCCCCCCCCCCTAACAACCCACTTTGCATCCGGGTCGCCCGTTGCCGAAAATGCGACACCTTGACACAGACTCGAGACCCCTCTAGACCGCAGTCTTAGGGCTGCGAACTGTAGCCGGGGGGGGAGGGAGGGGGGGGAACACCTCAAGTCACCGCTGGGAGGTGACTCGAAAATAAGCTCAATTTCCCCCCCCCAAAAAAAATCCTCGATAATCATTTTCAATACTGAATTCATTATCCGTAAATTAACATATATGAACGGATAAAGAGGGATTCGAACCCCCGATATTTTGTAATATGTCAGTTTTCAAAAAACAAAAAGGCCCAATTTGCCTGGCCGTCCTACAACCACCCTTCACTTTCAAAGCAGGATTTTATTGCCACGGGAACGTTGATCACTTTTCAATCACGATTAGTAAATCTACAGGGCATAGTGGAACACTAGCACCGTTGAGATTTTCTCAAGTCGAGGGTAGTGGAACGGGCCCCTTAGACCTGCAGTCTACCAGTAGTAGGGTCCTACATCCATCCTCTAGCTTGTTTTTTTTTTTCCCAGTGTCTGTGCCCCACTTTATAAGGTTTATTTCTCATTTCGGCTATACATGAGTCCCTGTCATCCGATCATAAAATCTTACAGCTATAATGTCACCATGTTGAAAAATACTTGAAACCATAGTTAAACCTCCCCAAGTGGGGTAAGGCCTTGAGACCATGCCTCGCTTGCGAAGGTTTGGTATTTGTTTGACGTCGTGCAACGGACCAGGTGCAAAAGAAACGCGGCAACTCTTTAGCTGAGGTCGTTAAATCGTGGGTTACCCGAACATATCAACATTTTTATTTTTATATAACAGAGTCCAATGTCGAAGGCTCATACTATTTAACCAATACAATAAAAAATACACGTCTCTCCCCATTTATCTATACTGAAATTGTAAAGAAAATAAAGGGACGGATAACATAAATATTTACTCAAAACCCGGGCATAAATCCGGTCGTGAAATATTTGCATCCCTAAGGTTGGGGTACTTTAGTTGTCGGGCCGCCTGGGAAAATAAGGTGACAGGGCGGCCCGGCAGGTAGCCTAGTTTAAAAAATAATTTTTTATTTTAATTTAATTTTGTAAAATTTAAAAAATGTATTCCCCTGAAGAGAATGTTGCTTAATGTTTTGCTAAATTAAGAAATTAATCAAATTCTTAAATTAGGTTGAGAGTGAAAACTTTTAATCAAAATTTAGTTTAAGCATAAGTTGCCATAATGATCTGGAGCAACTTTCCACGTCAGTGATAAAATAATATAAATAAATAAAATATAGGCTACCAGAGTGGCCCATGGCTATTTGCCCGCCCGGGTAAAAAATAATAATAATAATAATAATTTAAAAATTAAAATTTAACTTTATTTTTTATTCTAAATTTGGTAAAGAATTTTGGTGTGACCCTGAGGCAAAATTTATGGAGTTTAATTTTTAGCATAACATGTTTTTTTTCAGATTTTGCGGCCCTTCTCTGGTCCTTACACGGTCGAGCCGTCCAAAAAAACAAGGTGACCCGGACGGTCCGACTGGTAGCCTACAATAAAATATATATATATATATATATATATATATATATATATATATATATATATATATATATATATATATATTAATTATAAATAAATAAATAAATTCTCAATTTAGTTTTTTGCATCATACTGTTTCTTATCATAGTTTTTAGAATCGTTTTTGTTTAGGAGGGGACCTTTTTGTAGTCCTTGTACGGGTCGGGCTGCGTACTGAAACAAGGTGGCTCCAGCGGCCTGATTTGTAGCTTAGGTGATAATACATCCCTTAAGAGGATACTGAAAAGATTGTTGTGAAATCAAAGAGATTGTCAAATTTATGAATTTATACGATAAAAAAATAAATATTTCGATTTTGGCTTAAACCACCACTGTCTATTTTCTTATTTTTTTCGAACTTTTCGGAGTTGGATGAGACTCGGCAGTTGGGCCTTATTGACCCCTTCGGAAAACAAAAAGAAAAACAAAAGATCATGTCGGGAAAGGTTGTGCACCAAGTTGTGCTTACACCAACACTCACACATTCACG